CCTCTTCCTTTTTTTTTTTTTTTTTTTTGGCAGCACTGGGGTTTGAACTCAGAATGTCATGCTTACTAGGCAGGCTTCATACCACTTGAGCCACTCTGCCAGCCCTCTCTTCTTTCTTTAAGACACTTATGTGTTGGGACTTCATCTTGGTCCCTTACTCCCCTCCTTTCTCTGCTCTTGACAGACAGACAGACATACACACGTCTTGAGGAGTCCATGTACTTCCATTCTGAGGCACCATCATCTGCCCATCTGCCACACCAGAAATTTAGCCTGGGAGTCACCTCTTCCCTACCCTCCACAGCTAGTTGTTGTTCTAGAAACCACACCCTGATTTTTCTATCTTCTAGACAGGGCTCAAATTCACACTCTACTGTCACACCACTGCTGCAGGTCCCCTCACTGACTGTGTAGCTCTGTGGCAATCTCCCCAGGTCTCCTTCTCCCATCTCTGATGCCCATTTTATTTTCCCAAATGTAGATGTGACCATGAGACACTCTTGCTTAAAAACCCTGAGGAAGACATGGTAGATGTTTGTTAAACTCAGCCTCATTCCTTACATTCCAACCAGAACTTCCCTAGCTGTTCATTAACACACACAGCACCTGCTCTGGACTGTGCCCAGCAGATTCTGACTCCAGGTTGGATTGGGAGGAGAAACAAGATACACGATTGGGAGGTATCACTCCACTCTACACAAAGTTACCTAGAACTTCTTGAGAATGGCACAGTTTTCGAAGGCCATGGGTACACTGCATATGCCTACATGTAGACACACATACATATATACACACTCACACATGCACATATATACAGAGGAAGCAGATTTAAGTCTCCAGCTGGCAGACAGGTCCTGCAATAGAAAAGGTTGTTACTGGGTCCTATGAACAGCAGTTTGGTGGCTTCAGGCTGGGAGGCTATGAAAGGGCCTCCTGCTCAGGCCCTGGCTTCTGGTGATTGCCCATCTCTGAGAAGTTACTCCTACTCTGCCAATATTTTCTCCCTTCCATTCCACTCCTCCCTCTATTCCTCCCTTTATCCCTCCTTCTTCACTTTATCTCTTCTTTCCTTCCTTCTTCACTTTATCCCTTCCTTCCCTTTTCCCTTCCCTCCCCTTCCTTCCTTCCTTCCTTCCTTCCTTCCTTCCTTCCTTCCTTCCTTCCTTCCTTCTCTTTTCCCCTTCCCCTCTCTCCCTTTCCTCTCTCTCTGAACAGGAAGCCAGCTTTGTTGGTGGGGGTGATTAAGAACGGGCAGCACAGTGGGAGCCCTTACAATTGCAGGTCTCACCAGGGGACCATGAGATGTGCCTGACCCTACAGCTACCAACTACTCAGCCACCATGTCTTCAGATTCATTCTCATTAAACTTGGCAAAGTTCTACTTCTTTGAGATGTGGATCTTCTGGTCATCAGGGAACTTGAATTTGGCCTTGTGTAGGCTTCAGTCACATGCTTCCTGTTCTGCACTTTGGTGCAGATGGACATAATGACTTCATTAATGTGAACCCTGACCACTGTGCTTTGCGGTCTTCAGAGGCATCCTGAATACTTGTCTAGAGCCCAGACTCTAGACCCCTGTGAAGGGCTGTATTCCAGGTCCCTTAGGGAACCCATACACACCAGAGGTGGCTTATATCACTGAGGGGGCTGCTGCTGCAGTCCTTGCACAATAAGCCCTCATGAGGAAAGGAGCCCAGTCTGGTTCTCAGCATCTCAGCTACCATACTCCTGGGGTTGTTGGGACCAGGTGGCCCAGCATGATCCTTGGCCCTGGGCCTCCATAGGTACTTTGCTCATCTTCAGTTCCTGAGGTGGAAGGCCAGATAGACGCCATGTGACTCTGGGGTGAATTTTTACCTCTTTTGAATAGTCTGGCTCCATGGCCTCTGTGTCTGGGGAACAGGTGAGCTTCCTCAAGGCTATTCTGGCTGTAGATAGCCTTGGTACCTAGGAGCAGCCTTCCTTTCCCCTTCACAGCAGGATTGTGGCCACCACTTCTGAATCCTATGATGGGAGAGGCAGATCTGAGCACAAGTATGGAGGCCTCTGAGCAAGTCAGTTTTTGTCCAAGGGAGGCCTACCTGGTTTCCAGGGACTACAGGGGGCCAAGAAGAAGAGTTGAACTGGGCTGTGAGAGGGGCCCAGATTTAGGAAGATTTAGGAAGCCACCGGGCTGCCCAGGGGTGGGGAACACTAAAGCCAGGATTTGACTGGTAGGTAGGGACAGGTGAGGGGGAAAACAGGAAATAAGGGGAAGTGGGAAGCTTTGAACCTTCCCTGGGGGATTTTCCCCAGGCTTCCTGAGACAGCCAGCAGATTTCTTAATCCCATTGTCAGCCTTCCAAGAAACCCCACCCACTGGGCTTTTTCAAGGTAGGAGTATTGTCACTCCTTTCCCTAAGAGCCTGGCTCCACTGCCAGAAAAGGTGAGCTCAGGCAGAGACTGTGGGGTGGTCTGGGACTTGGAGGGGGCTCGGACTCACCTCACATCTCCCTGGTCCTCAGACTGACCTCTTTAGCTGGCCTCTGAAGAGTGCCAGCCAGGAAGGCCAGGCCTGGCAGCTCATTCTCAAGGGAGGGCAGTTTCTCTCCAGTGCCCGCCCTCTCTCCTCCTCTCTCCCTCACCTTTTTTCTAACCAGCAACTCTCCTCCAGGGTCAGACTGCGCAGGGGCTGATCTCAGGCAAACAATCCAGAGCCGGGGAAGTTCCAGCAGCACAGACACTGGCAACGGACTGAAGGCCCCAGAGCTGCCTACAGCCATGTCGACCCTAAACCTTGTCATTCTGGGTCTGCTTACTACAGTGCCACCTGCCAGCTGTCAACAAGGTAGTACAGGACAGGGCAGTGCCCTGTGTCTGAAGGGAGGGGGGGCAGGGCTGGGCACTGGTGGCCTAGGGAGGTATGAGGTGGTGTCCTGGCTTCCTTCACTACCCAAATACCTTACTTTGGGGGCAGCAGGGACTGGGCTAAGCAGAGGAACCAGGCACAGACCTCTGAACCAAGCTCTGTCTATGGTTTATTTTCCACGAGTGAGAAGTGGGGGCAGCAGGGGACATGTTGGGTCTAGGATTTGGGGGAGGAAGGCAAGGATTGCCTAGAGATGGTGGGGTTATTAGGCACCCTCCCTTTTGGGAAGAGGCCAGGGCTGCAAGGAGGGTAGAAGCAAGACTCCTGCCACCCACAAAGGCAGGCTCACTCCAGGAAAGGGGCAGTGCTGTGGGAGATTTGTCCATGCCTTTGACCTAAGTCCTCATTGGCTCAGCTTCCTGGGCTTGGGCAGAGAGCAGTGCCCCAGAGTTTCCCCTACCATGACCTGAGGTCTTCATCTAGCTCTGTCTCTGACTTACTGTGTGGCCTTGAGAAAATCACTGTCCTCCTCAGAGAGTCAGTTTTGTCAGCCATAAAACTGCGACAGTAAACCCCACCCTGCCCAACTCCTTGAGCTGCTACCACATCAGGAGTATGGAAGGGCTTTGCCCCCAGAAAAGCATCACACTCTGAGGTTTGGCGCCCACCAGACCCTGTCAGGCTACATCTGTGGCCAAAGCCTGGTGACAGGAGTGGGCTTGGGTCCAGAGGGGACTGGCAAAGATGCTTCCCAAGCACCCTGTCCTGAGCCTTCGGTATGTTTGCTTCAGCTCTGTCTTCCACCAGAGAGGTTGAGTAACTTACATAGGATCCATGGCAAGGCAAGAAGGGACAGGTCCCGACCATCTTTCTCCTGCCTCAGGTTCTTCCCCTTGCTCTGTGTCCTCTCCTCAGAGCCATGTGGGTCCCTGGTGTTTGGAGGGAATTGGCTGCAAGGTCTGGAGGAGGCAGGAAAGGGATCTCTTAGGGTTGTCTCCAATGCTTGAACATCACTGGTCCAAGAAATCAATGGATAGGCCAGAGTCATTGTTCTTCTGGGGGAAACTGTGAATCCAAAACGCTGGTGATTTGCAAGGTGATTACATTGTGTGTCTTCTCTTACCTCTGGAGCTAAGTGAGGTCTGACCTGGCCATAGGCCAGAGAGTTCCACAATTCACCCTCCCTCTCAACACCTGCCAGGCTCAGGGAGAGTGCCAGGAAGAGGCAGGAACTTCCCTGCCACAGGAAAGTTTTAGGGTGGACTGGAAGGACAACTTTTGAGTAGGAAAGAAGCAGAGTGGGGGTTTTTAATGCCCAGCCTAGACCTCTCATAACATAGAGATCCAGCTGTTTTGCCTGGAATTAGGCCCCTCAGAAGCCTCCTGTTGACTTCCATTCATTCCTGGAATGCCTACCTACTGAGTATCTTTCCTCTACAGGGTGAGGTCTTATGGGACTAGTGATGCCCAGGGAAGAGGAGAGCTCCTTGGGGATGCCAGTAGCCCAAGGGCAGAGACCTTGGAAATCTTGAGGATTGCATTTGGTGTCAAGGGTTAAAAAAACTGAAAAGGGCTCATGTTTGGGGACTCAACCTGGTCTCTGACCCTAGAGCTTTGGTCACCCAATTAGAGGAGTGCAAAGGGGCTTAGCTCTTACCTGTATTACATCATTAGGCAACACTAGCTGAGAAATCCCTGGCCCTTCCTCATGCCTCCCAGCTCCTCCCAGAGGAGCTTCTTGTTACAGAACAGGATCTTCCAGATGCCAGCCCTGTCCAGGCTGCTCTGAGCCACCCCTCAGCCTACAGGCAGCTGGGAAAGAGAAAGAGAACCCAACCAACTGGGAAGGCCTAGGCCAGCCATCCAGGAGACTGCCCTTTGGTCCCTGGGCCCCAGATACTCCCTGGGGTCCCTGTTTTGTGACCCCAGAGAGAAGGGATGAGGCTCTGGGCCACCTGGATCTCAGATGCAGTACACTGAGGCCTATTCTCACCTTGGTTTCTCTGACCTTTCTCAAACTTCCTTCTTCCTCTGGATCTCTGTCCTTCCCAAACCCATCCTTTCCTCATGCTCACCCAGTATATCTCCTGTGGTCCTGCAGCAGTCAACATCTTGTCTTCCAACCCAGACCCTGGCCCTTGAGGTGAAGGCCCTCCCCGCTCTGTTCTGCACCTGTAGCCCTCCTTCCCTTTTCAGGTCTGGGGAACCTTCAGCCCTGGATGCAGGGCCTCATTGCAGTGGCCGTGTTCCTGGTCCTGGTTGCAATAGCCTTCACCATTAACCACTTCTGGTGCCAAGAAGAGCCGTGAGTGCTGCATGAGGTCCCTGGGACTGGGTTGGCACCTGAGTGGGTGGGGTGAGTCCCCCTCCCAGTGAGATTTGGGGATCTCTTTGGGGTCTCAATGTTTCCAACTGTAGAGTTGAGATAGCAGCTTGGCTTTTCTTCTAGAAGTTTCTGGAGGGTCAGCTGCAATGCAAAGGGGCCTCATAGGCTCACAGATTGCAAGTATATACCAGCCTGAGCTGGTGTGGGGCGGTCAGAGAAGGCTGTGCCCAATGCACATTCATCCCAAAGCCTGAAACACAAGGAGGAGGCAATCAGGACAGGGCAGCATGGGAAGAATATATTTGGCTTCTGAGTTAGGGGTTTGACACCAGGGCCACCAGACACGAATACACAAATGTGAAGAGCCCATTGGGGAAGGCTGCATCTGTCCTGAGGCATTTTTCCTCAGCTCTAACAAAGGTGGCCAGGTGGCCAGGATGTCAGCAGCAGCTCTGTATGACTTGCAGAGGAAGCACAAGTAGCTAAGTGGGTGGAAAGAGGGACAGAGAGGCCTAGGATGAGGCTGGTGAGGTGGACGAGACCAAGTAGCACCAATGACTTGAACATTGGGGCCCTCACTATGGACCAAGTAGAAGAGTGTGAGGTCCGGTGAGAGGAGGCCAAAGTATGCTGCTGGCAGGGCCCTGTGGCACAGATGTACTCTGCTCTGAGCTTTGAGAACCAGGATCCAGAACAGGGTTTGCTTGGACAAGGACATAGGAGCGCTACTGATGAGTCCCTTCCCCAGGGAGCTTGGTAACACAGTCAAGAACGTTGGAGACAAGGCAGATGGAGTCCTAGTGGGAATGGATGGGAAGTACTCTTCAATGGCATCTAACTTCAGGTGAGGTGCCCATACGGGGCTGTCTGCTCTGTGCTCCAGGGGCCCAAGGGCTCCTCAGGAGGAGGTGGTTCCTGGGAAGCTGAGGAACATGGGGCTTTAAATGAAATGGGTATGGTGAAGGGAAGGGATAGTGAGTTAATAGGGGCTTTGTGAGGACCCATGGGGAGGCAAAGCCTTGGTCTAGTGAGAGGGATCGGGGCAGCGGCTTGGTAGGGGTATTCAGTGGATGTATTGGGACTCACACGGCAGTGGACACTGTGGGCAAAGGTGCAACAGGGTAGGGGGATTTCGTGAAGGGATGAATGAGTGGGGGTCTTAGTGTGGCGAGAGGGCTCAGTAGAGGAGGGAGCTTGGGTGGGCTTATTGAGGCCCTCAATGGAAGTGGGTCCAGGGAAGAGGAACATGTTGCTCAGGGGGATGGTGCTCAGGATTACAGTTCAGGTGCACAAGCCCAGATGTGGCTGGGAGGGGGGTGAGCTCCAGCTGGGAGTCAAATGTTTCTCCTGGAAGACACCACCACAAAGCACAGGAGGGAGGCAGGGAGAAAATGGGCTAGGAGGCCAGATGACCCACCACTCCCTGCCTCCTCTTTCAGGTCCACTGAACATGAGAATGCCTATGAGAATGTCCTGGAGGAGGAGGGCAAGGTCCGCAGCACACCCATGTGACAAGCCCAACCCTAAGACCCACTGCCATCACCCAGCCCTTTTCTGCAGGAATCTGAAATAACAGATAACAGATTCCCCTAACCTTCCCTGAATTACAGTGGCCGGTGGAGGCTGAGACTCAGACCATTCCCAGGCTGGGGGTCTCCCACCCTGCCTCCCATCCTCCTGGCAACTGTGGATGTGGCCCTTATTTCTGTGAAATAAAGACTTTTTGTCTTCTAGGACTGAGGCTCAGAAACAGTCCTTAAGCTTCTAGCCAGGCCCCGTCTTGCTTTTATCTTCTGAAGCCATAGTTTTGGTGGCTTTGGAGATTACCCAGGAAGCCCTGGGCACACAGGGCAGCTGGGGCTGAGGGGGCTGGGATGGGAGGGTGAGGGCTGTGTCCAGGTGGGGATGAAAGAGTCAGCATCTCTTCTGGAGGGCAGATGAGTGGAAGCATTGGATGAGCTCTGAGTATAGGACAGCTGGGGAAGCAGGGAGGCCAGGGACAGGAAAGCCCATCCCGACCTGTGGGTGGTCTTTGGCCTGAGCAGTCAGGAGAGCTTCCTTGGCAGGAGAGACTCTGACAAGAGCCAGGTGCCCCCAGGGATCCCCTAGAGCTGGTCATTTTCAAGATGTGTCCCAGGTTCCTTCATGTACTTAGGGCAGGAAGAGGGGCTCGGAGGCCATGATCTGGGGAGCTCACCCATTCTGCTCTTGTTCTAGGCAGAACCCTTCCTGCAAGTTCATGTCTCCCACTTACCCTTCACACAGATTCTGGGCCCTTCCTCAGACACCCATCCCACCCCATGCTGCCTAACACTGCAGTAGGTTCATCGCTCATTCATTCAGCTCTCTCTCCTCCCCCCAACACCTTGATGCTGAATTTTAGCATGTTATTTGTGGGAAAGTCTGGGGTTTAGATTCAGGAAACCAGATTTAAATTCCTGGTCACCTGCCACCTTGCTGAGTGATCTTGAGAGAGTTCTGCTCACTCTGAGCTCCACTGGCCCTCTGTGAAGGATCTGGGCAGTCTTCTCACAGCTGGAGTAGAACCTGGTCCTCACCAATGCCTGACTCCCAGTCCTGCAGATGGGGTGGGGGTCAGAGAACCAGCTTCTAGTAAGAATAACGTAGGAGGCAGAGGAGAGAGGAGGTATGACTGAGCACCTGGATGACCAGGACTCAGCTTTGTAACTGCTGCTTTTACCGGAACAGCTGGGTCCCTGACCATTTTCACCTCACTGGGATTTAGGATGTGGCCTGCAGCATAGGAAGAGTTTTGAGCAGGGCAGAGGTAGTAGCATCTTTGCTTCTATGCCTCCCTCTGCCTTGCTGTGTGACTTGGAACAAGTCACCTCTCCTCTTTGGACTTCGGCATTATCAATTGTGGCTGTTGCTCCTGTAGTTCCTACTCTAGGCTTGTGCTTCTGTGGCTCGCTGTGACTCATGCTTCCTCACCCACCTCTATTCTTGGGAAGTCTTCCTTGATTAAAGCAGAAGGCAAAGCCAGGTGACCAGCCAGCCCAGCTTCTCACTAATGTCTTGGAGGAGGACAGTAAGGTCCGCTTACTCGCTGAAGAAGAGATAGAGGTTCCTGGAGATCAGGCCTCTGCCAAGGCACAAATACCCCTTCTTCCTTTCCAGTTTTCTGCTTTCCTTCCTTTTGGCTGCTTGGACTGATTGTCTTTGTATGAGGCCACATTCCTCCCACCTCTCTGTCTCCATTTGTCCCTGGCAGGTGCAACTGGGTTCAAGCCTGGTTCCTCTTAGCTGCCAAGGCTGAGGGCAGAGCTACCTGTGAGGTGTTGCCAGCAGGGGCCTCCTGCTTCTGCCTGGGCTCACCTGGTTGTTTCCAGAAGCTGCAAGCCAGAATCTTGAGCGCCTCTGAGAGCTTCCTTAGCCTCTCCTCAATTTGGGAACCCTGAGGGCTCCTGTAGGGGCTAGACTGGCATTGACCTTACAGCCTCTTACCCCCACCCCATGCTCCCAGCCCTGGCCGGGGGGCTGGGAGCATGGAGCTGCCGGCCCCGGAACCGCCAAGACCCCCAATCCTTATCGCAGCCTCCCACCTGCCAGCCTGGCCAGAGCAGGGAGGCAACGGAGGCTGGGCCGGGGCCAGGGCGGCTGCTTAATGACCCTCCCGGGGCCTAATCTCAGACTGGCAGCCGCTCAGTGACTCAGGCTGGCTCCTGGAGGAGGCTGATAACGCACCAGCTGGGCCCCCCACCATTTACTGGGCGGCACAATCAGTCCCCAGGGGCGGTCTCTGAGGGCCTGGGGCGGGGAGCCTCCGGGGTGGGGCGGGGCTGGAGGCGAGCTTCCCGCCCCTGGACCTGGGGGAGGGGGTTCGGAGCTCCTGGAGAGACAGCAAGGGACCAACCCGCACAGAGCGCCTCGGGCTCTTTCCTACTCCCTGCCCATCCTTCTCTTCCCACATAGGATCTCTCCCGCCCCTGGTCTTCTTTTGTCGTCTGGTTCTCAGTCCCTTGGCCTGTGTTTTCATCTCTCTTCTTCTGTCTCTGTCCTGGCTCCCCCTTCGCTTTCCTTCCACCAGAGCTCAGTGTCCAACGACCTCTCTCCTCTTGCATCTCTTCTATTTCCAGGAGGTTCTCCCTGTTGCCCTTTTTTCAGCTCTCCCCACCCCCATTTCCCTGATGTCACCCCTTGGCCTGCAAGTCCCATGACTAACCCGAGGCTCACTTTGTGCCCCATCATCTCTCGCTGATCCCTTCGCCAGTTCATCTGCTCTGGGACCAGGAGTTCTTACTCTTCAGAGCATTCTTGCTCTTCCTGCAAGAACAGGGCTTGCATCTTTATTTCTCCTCTTTTACCCCAAACGGGTGAATTCCACAGAGAAATGTTACAGGTTACACCAAACTTAGGAACGGAGCGCTTCCACCCAGGCCCTGCTCAGGCAGAGGGCTATTGCAGTACTGCTGACTTCAGTTAGACCTGAATAGGAACTTCTCCCTCTGGAGTAGGTTTCGGCAAAGGCTGTGAAGTTCAATCTCCAGTCTCCCCTGTTATGAGACAGTGCCAGTGGAAGAGACGAATTTCAAGGTCGCTTCTTTTGCACTCAGGGTAACCTGTAGAAATACTGTGTGCTTCAAGGATTGTTAGATAAGGACTCCTGCTGGGCAGAGGCTCATCCCTCACCCAGGAGATGTGGGCGGACTGTCCTCCTGGACCAACTTCACAAGCAAGTCACAGGGCTGGAGTCACCAGAACATGCTCTGGGGCCAGAGTGCGAGTACCTGCTTCCAGCCCAGACCTGGCTGGGGGTCTGGACTTCACAGCTTACCTTTCCTCCCACTTTTCAGCTGCTGGCCAACATTGGCCAAAAGCATGAACTAGGGAATCATAGACTGGTTCAAATTTCAGCTTAGCTCCTGTCTGCCTGTGGGACCCCTTAGACTTTCAGGTCCTTGCCAATAAAATTGGTGCTGGCTTCCACGAGGAAACCAAGACAACATATGTGTTATCCTTGTACCTGAGACTTGCCAGAAAGCAAATAACTTATGAAGTTAGCTTTTTCATTTCTATAACAAAATACCAGAGGTAAATTAACTTATAAAAAGGAAAGGTAAGGGAGGGGGTGGGGGCAGGTGGGAGAAATGACCCAAGCCTTGTATGCACATATGAATAATAAAAACAAAAAAAGAAGGAAAGGTTTGTTTTGGCTCACAGTTTCAGAGGTTCCAGGCCACAAGCAGCATAGAAGCCACTTCTCTTGATGCCCCTTCTGCACACCACCTCTGGATAGCTCCAGTCTCTGCTTCCCTCCCTTGGCACCAGACCCACTGGCTCTACCTGCTCCACTGAGCTGGCTGGTAACTTGTCTGCACCCAGCTCTAGCTCCAGGTCTAGGAGCCCTTCAAGGGCAGGAATGGGGCCACAGCCTTCTCTGTGTCACCAGCACTTAAGACAGGGCTGCACAGGGGCAAGGGGGGCTTAGGACAGGGTGAAGAGACACAAAGGAATGGGACTTAACTGTAGCAGTTTGACCAGCTGTATGCCTGTCCATTCCTCTCCACACCATGTGGGTGCAGTCACACACATGCGTGTGCACATGTGCATGAACACGTACTCTGTCTCAGGTTGAAGGTCCTGGGGTGAGTGACATCATTGATCATCTGGCCTTCAATTTTATGAGCTGCTTTCCCTGGGTCTGCCTGTGGCCTTGGCTGCCACCTGGTGGCTGCATACTTTGTAAAAAGTATGTAGAAGGGTGGATTCAGCAGAGCCTTTAAACTTGAGCTTCTGGTGAGAGCCCTCCCTCCCCTTAAGTGCTGGGACAGTGGCCTTCCCTGGCACAGCCTTAGGAACCCCTCCATTGTGCTGACACTCACTCAGTCTTCCATGGGTTGCAAGGGCATCTGGGCCTCTGACAACCTCTCTTTGCGGCCCCAGTGGCCAAGTCTGTGAATACCTCAAGCTCCATGATGTACTGGTGGGGTCCAGCTTTTGAAGGCTTAACTATTCTGGTCCCAGTGTCACACCCCCTTCTCTCAGAAATGGTCTGGAGGCCCAGTGGCTTCTGCTTTGGGTCTTTTTTTTAGAGGGTGAAGGATGACACCATTTCTGTGACTTGTTCCATGAATACCCTGGCTCCCCGGAGAAGCAAAATAGAAAGAGATTGATGAAAAAGAGGGAGAGAAAGAGAGACAGGGATGGAGGGAGGGAGGGAGGGAAGGAGGGAGAGAGAGGGGGGGAGAGAGAGGGGGGAGAGAGAGAGAGAGAGAGAGAGAGGGAGAGAGAGATGAGTTCCAACATCTCTTCTGAGCAAGTTGGAAGATGGCGGAGAGCTGGGGCACTGCACTAAGAGGAACGTGCTTCCTCCACCAACCAGGCCCTGCATCCTGGTGTAGACCTGTGTTACCTAAAGGGAGGGGCGTCCTTTTCAAACTCTCACCAGGGCACTGTAGAGGCCAGAGAATGATACTGAGGATGGCAGATGCCAGGGACAAATAGGAGTGTGTGTGGGGGGTGAGGCTGCATTTATGGCTATGCAAAGTTTAGAAGCCTATGGGACATAGGCAAGGAAGGACTGGAAGGGCAGCTGAGAGCACAGTTGTGGTCTGAGCCAGAGATTGTGACTTAGACTTTGATGCTTCCTGAATGGTTAAGAGTCCAGGTCTGGACCAAGCAGCCTGGATGCAGCACAGCACTGATGCTTCCTACTGTGTGACAATGGACAAATCAACTCCATTAGCAGTGTAGTTCTAGTGCACCATAAATGGG